ATCCGTCAGCAAACTTATGAGAGATAACTGCACCCACGCCATACTTCGAAGCGTCTGCCGCCACCACGATTTCAAGTGTTGGGTCGTAATGTGTCAGCAAAAGGTCAGAACACAGCATTCGCTTCACCTCCTCAAAGGAATTCTGACAATCTTCGGACCAGTGCCAACGTTTGTCCTTGGTGAGTAACTCATTGAGTGGTCCACGCACGCTGTGCATATGTGGCAGAAATTGACTGTAATGACTGACGAGTCCTAAGAAGGACCTCAGAGTAGGCACATCTTTGGGAGGTGGCATCTTTTTTATAGCATCAATGTTTGACGGATCTGGACGTCTACCGTTCTTGTCAATTATGAAGCCAAGAAAATTAATGGAGTCCATGAAAAACGTGCACTTTTCTGGGCGAAGTCTAAATCCGTACTCTTGTATGCAATCAAGTACTAAGTGCAGCTTTCTGAAAAGGTCATCTGGGTTAGTTCCGACGACAATGATATCGTCCAAATATGCGGCAGCACCATCTACATCTGTTAGCATAGTATCCATGATTTGCTGAAAAATTGCTGGCGCGGACTTAACTCCGAATGGAAGTCGATGATACTGATACAAACCTCGGTGCGTATTTATCGTCAGTAATTCTCTAGAAGCTTCATCAACTTCTATTTGTAAGTACGCATCCGATAGATCTAGCTTGGCAAAACACTGACCCCCATTTAGTTTCGAGAACAAATCATCTGGGACTGGCAGAGGATACTGATGCGTGTTTAACGCTTCATTCAGCCCAGTAGAAAAGTCGGCACATATTCGGATCTGGCCGTTCGGCTTCTTGACAACCACAATTGGAGCCGCCCAAGAAGAGTAGTTCACTGCATAGATAACCCCAAGTTTCTCCAAACGATCAAGTTCCTGGTCAACAATTGGGACTGCTGCGTAAGGTACTGGCCGCTTTGCACGGAAAACAGGAACAGCATCGGGTTTTAAGGACAATGAGGCTTGCAACTTTGTACACTTACCAAGTCCTTCACGGAAAACAGGTGCATATTTCTCTCGAATTTGTTCGATTGCCATTGCCTTGGGGACTTTTGGTTTGTGTAAGTGTACACTTGCACAGATTTGATTAATGGGAACATCTAAGAGGTTGAATTGCTCAATCCAGTCTAATCCAAGGAGGTTCAAATTCTTGTGTGTTGTGACGAAAATAGTTCCCCAAGCGGTGAAGTTGGCAAAGCGACACTCACATTCAATCTGACCGATCAAGTTTAGACTCGTACCTGATGCGCTCTTCGCTTTATGGTTAGTTGGTTTAATGTCAGGTGAACCGATAGCTTTCCATAAATTTTCCGTAATGACTGTAATATCGGAAGCCGTATCAATCTGCAGACGCGCTACTCTTCCGTTGATGGTAATAGTGACGAACTTTCTTCTATCTTTAACATCGTCCGTATAGTTAACGTTTACTCTTGTCGCGAACCTTCGGTAACCTGCTTTTCGAGTATCACATGACGATCTAAATGATGTTTTGAATCTGCAGTGGGTCTCCTTGTGCCCCCGTCTAAAGCACCTTTGACAAACATGTTTGCTGAATGGACACCATCTCACAAAATGCCATCCTCCGCATTGCCAGCAAGGTGATGGGGGTTTGGATTGTGGATATCTGCTAGGTTGAGCGGTCGGTGGGTTGTTTCCTGAAATTTGCTGGACAGATATATCTGCGGAATGTGCTCTCGAATCTTCCACCATAGCCGTATCATGCTTTAAATTCATGATTCTTTGGGCTTCAGCAATGGCGTTTTGTAATGTAACATCTGTGTCGCGTTCCAACATACCAAGTATTCTCGTTCGTATCTCGGCGTCTTTTGGGGACTGTAGACTGCATATTAGTATCAAACACTCGAACTGGTCTTCCGTGAGGGACTTCAGTTTGAATTTCTGGCATTCACGTTTGACTATCGCCGCGTCAGCAAGAAGACTGTCATTGTCCTTTTTGCATAGCTTTAGACAATTGTATCGGTTATTGAAAAGAGACGACTGGTCTCCAAACAACGCTGTGAGTCGAGCAACTGCATCATCAAAGCTGAAATCATGCGCGTTGTTTGGCAAAATGTAGTTAATGTATCTGTCATGTTCAACCGTTCCGAGTTTTCGTAACAAAAGGCGAACTTTAGTTGCATCATCGAGACCTGACAACTCTGCCCTGAAAATATCTTCATAGCGCCTGAACCACGCATCGAATATTAATCCTGAGTCTGGATTGAATATGAACTCATTAACACTACTGATCATCGCATCCGCCGAAGGCTTCCCATTGTTCTGAACGACCGTAGGCTGCACAGATAACATTTGGGTGAGGGTTTCAATCATACGCAGCTGTGCTGTTTCAAATTGCTGCTGTTGCTGCAACAAAATGATTTTCAGGTCTTCCGCTGAAATTGACATCTTGATCCACTACCTTCCGTCGCCAAAAATATATGTTATGGTTTCGGCTGACCTACCGATGACCTGCTGCTAGCGTGCACTCTGATCAGCCCGACTTCCCAAAGCAGGAGACCGGCGTACGGCTGGCAAGTATATTTTCTAAACGTCCAACTAACGGTACATTCAATTTATGGCCAAATCAATAGCCCTCAGCGTAAAACGCTCTCATTGGCTGGTTCCGTCCCATTAACAGACTGCCGTGAAATAAAGAATTTAAGGCATTGTGGAAACTCCCCACAACAGTTTGTCGTTTTCGGCGAAATCTCAAGGGTTGCATTCTGACGGCTCCACATTTGCAGTGGAAACTGTGCATACAAGTACTGAATGATTGTTTCATCCTTTCGAAAATCATGGGCAGTGAGCATTCCGTATGTCACTTACACGGAGCGAACTCGCAATCCTACTTTTACCAATGAGCGTGATCAAGACCCATGGGCTTTAATCACGTGCGTTGTTATTGTCCCCCGTATCGCAGTGGTCTTAAACACGAACAGGTAATAGTCGGGTTGTGAGTTTAAATCCCAAATGAAGCAGATGCAACCCGAGCCGCTGATGGTTCCATAAAGGATGTAACGGCCGTACAGTGCTTTTCTGGGGGTATGATGCCCATCAGACTGAGCTTAGATTCGATTTTCAACTTGTACCACACCTTTTATAATCTGTGCACGCCTTGTATCGTATCACCTTTACTCAATCCACAACCTTGTTCATGTTCCCCATTTTCATTTCGTTCTAAAGATGGAATACGATGAATCAGCGGAAAACCCGGTCATTGATCGTTTTGCGCCGCTTATCGCACTTGAGGTTCTCGGTCGCCCCTTCGTCACTGATTGTTTCTGTGCTGGCCTTCGGGTGGCCCTTTGGTCAACATCCTGATCAAGCCAAGCTGACGGATGAGACGACGAGGCAGCTGTTTGCTGAAGCGTTACGGTCGTTGCGTGCGCAGGATTTTCCTCAAGCGGATCGGCTTTTTCACAGTGTGTTGCAGCACCTATACACGTCTCACCAAAGTGGCATCATCACCGAGTCTGACTATGTGGAGCAGCGAGCAAGAGTGTACTCGGAGATGGCGAACGTCAATTTGGCAATGGGCAGGCACGCCGAGGCCGAACGTTTAATCAAGCAGACTATTCAAGATGTCACGGCTCGTGGGATTCCGTTGGATAGTTCAATGGTTGTTGAATTGTCTCTCAAGCTGGCAATCATCTATCAGCACCTGGAAATGCCGAAGGAGGCTTCTGTGGGCTTTAACTACTGCATAAACACTCAGGAGGACAAACTTCGGCGACCGCTGGATCCGAGACAGAAGTTCGAGGAGCTGGCCTTGTTAGGCATGTCCCACAACTACTTCGCCAAGTTCGTTTTATGGCATCTCATCCCCCCATGCTTTCCAGTATTACGGCTGCACCTGAACCATTATCACTAATTCCCAGCAGGCCGCATCATTCCCACTTAACCGTAGACAACATCCAAATTCCCGGTTCACACTTCTTTGTTCTCCCATTTGAGCTTCCCGCACCGAACACGGAGTTTTGCCTAACACCAAGTTGATCCGACTTTTCCAGACTGCTTGCAAAAGTAAAACACTACTGATTTCAATTTCCGAAACACAACTGAACGTTGACTTGAAGGGTATCCTTACTATTTCCCCGCGTATCTGATACGTATCAATCGACGCGTATGAATCATATATTAGGTTTGTGGCGCCTATAGCTCTTCATTGTTTAATTCCTGTAGCTAAGTTGTTTCAAGTGAATCACGCCGTTTGTTTGATTTTCGGTAGCGCCTCGTTATTCGCCTTTGTTTATAGTGTAGCGTGAACAACGGTGGGGGCGCACAGTCTTTATTGCCAACGCTCAACCGGTTCACTTGCAAGCACACACACGCGCACTTAAAGAAGACAGTTTCCGACCACCACGCAGCACACATTGTCCTTTCGCTCGGTGTCACATTCATGCCCCGACCTCCGTCATCCGATAGGTCGGCGTTCGCTGATTTTCCCTCGTATCTTCGCTTCCGCGCGTCCAATTCTGACCAGGCTGGATGCATTCTAATCCTCTTGATTTGCTTATTCGGCGTTGCGTCGCTCTCCTCGTGGTTATTTCTAGAGGCGCGACCAAACGCGTACCTCTCCGGAAATTCGGACGATTCACCAATACGTTCCCCGCTCTTCTCGGCCTGGGCCTAACATGGCTTGTCGTTCGTTGCCCTTTTCCGGCTTGCCCCTTAAGCCTCAAGCTGCTTTGTCGACTTCTGTCTCCGGTGTCCTCGTTACTTTTCATCTTAGTTTTTGCGGCTTCTCCGTTCTGCCAGTGAATCTGGCCTTTCGTGCTAATACACCCGCCCCCTTCGCGAAGATCTGATTTCCTCGTATACAATGGTCGTAGTACAGCTGTATTCACCCAACATTTCGCCATCCCATCGTCAATTCTGACGTTCACTCCTTTCCTTTCCATTATGGTATAGGAACCTTTCCACCGCTGGTCGAATTTCCCGCACATGGTACTCCAATGGCCGGTGGATCATTATTGCGCAGTCTTACTTGGTCTCCTAGTTTGAGTGGTCTCCATTTATCTGTCGAATATCGTGCGTTATAGTTCCGTTTATTCCGTAATTGTCGTGCGCGGTTGTTTGTAGTTTTCCGTGCTACACTGCTGGATGTTCGCACTCGCGATCCATCGCCAACCACGTGTCGGGTGCGATTCTCGGCTCTCTCCCAAATTGCAATTCGAAGGGCGAAACCATGGTGCTTGACTGCATGTTGGTTCGATAAGCGAGTAGTACTTCGGGCAGTGCCTCTTCCCATGCCAAGTTTGTGCAGTTCATCCATGTCTTCATTGTCCGGTTAAACCGTTCTGTCATCCCATTGGTTTGAGGGTGATACGGTGAAGTGCGCCGTCTCTGGATGCCCCATTTCGCTAATACTGCTTGGAACGCTTTTGACTCAAAGCATGGACCCTGGTCAGTGACAACGCAATGCGGAATTCTATACCGCGCCGGTACATTGAATTCGAACGTATGTGCCACGGTTTCGCCTGTCTTTTCTTTAATAGGTATGGCCTCGACCCATCGGGTGAAATGATCAATCATCACAAAAATGTGTGTGTTACCTGATCGGCTCAGCGACAGCCGTCCAAATACATCCAGCCCGCGGCACTGTAGCGCCTTGGTAACTTCAATTGATTGCATTGGCAGTCTGGGCGCATCCGCCTCCCGGCTAGTTTGACAGTTTGGACACCCCCGAATATATGCCGCTACGTCCTTCTTCATATTTAGCCAAAATACTCGTCTCCGTAACAAGTCAAAAGCTCTCTCACATCCCATATGTGCATTATCGTGCCATTTGGGTTACCCGTTTTCTTTTTTCTTCTGGGATAAAGAGCAGTTTCCTTCCGTATGTTTCCAACAACAAATTGCCATGTATTGTGCACCGTCGGTCCCAGATCTTAACGAGCTCCTTCGTCCTATCCATTGTTGTACCCGGCGTGGTGCCCAATTGTAAATGACTGCACCAGTTTGTCCTTTCTTTGCTTTTCGAGTAGGTTGCTCTCTTTTGTTGTGACCGCACACACTGGTATTGCTGTGTCTGGAATGACGGCCGCGATAGCATGTCAGTTAGTACGTTCTGCGTCCTGTCTACGTGCCGGATAGTGAAGGTAAATTCTTGGAGTCGATATGCCCATCGCGCAAGACGTCCTCGCGGATCTTTCGGTGTCATCAACCACGGCAGCGGTTTGTGGTCCGTCATAACGTGGAATTCATTCACTTATCCAAGGCCCAAATGATAGCAAGGCATTCCTTCTCTGTCGTGGAGTATTTCTGCTCCGCACTCGTCAACTCTACTGGCATATTCTACTACACCCGATGGTTGGGACAGCACTGCACCGATTGCGATGTTGCTAGCATCGACCGCCACCGTAAACTTCTCCTCTGGACTGGGTATCCGTAAGCACTTTGGGGATTCTGCCACGTATGCCTTTATGTGGTTGAAAGCCTCCTCTGCTTCGGTTGTCCACACGAATGGCTGGTCTTTGTGCAGCAGCTTCAATAATGGGTTGATGTTTTCCGCAAAACGAGGGACGAATTTCGAATCATATGCCACTACTCCGAGGAAGTAACGAAGCTGACGTTTGGACTTCGGGATCGGGAAATTTTGGATCGTCTCCAGTTTCTCTGGCAGCGGCCGTATTTGACCGTTCCCCACGATGTGACCCAAGCACACAATCGACCTCTGGGCTATTTGTGATTTCTTGCGGCTTAGCTTCAATCCAGCTTCCTCCAACCGTTGCAGTACGGCCGCGATTCTGCTACAATGCTCGTCTTCTGTCGCGGAGAATATGACGATGTCGTCTCCGTAAACCACCACACCTTGGAGGTTTTCCAGTATCATTAGTAGCAGTCGTCTGAACGTGGCGGGGGCGTTACACAGTCCAAATGGCATCCTCAAAAATTCGTACTGCTGACCGTTTACACTGAAAGCTGTTTTGTGGCGCTCCTTTTCCGCGATGGGTAGCTGCCAATATCCTGAGCGGAGATCAATCAACGAGACCCACTTCGCATTATGAAGACTGGAAAAAATTTCCTCCATGTGAAACGCATCCTTCACCGTCACTTTGTTCAGTGAACAAATGCGCATACTTCTCCAACGTGTCTCTTATTGCACGACTTGGGCAATCAGGCCGAACAGTTACGGCACACAGTTGGCTGGTTCTTCCTGCGTTAAGGCTGATTGTCTCGCTAGGCAGGATTAGCGCGTTCTTCCCCAAATCGATTCTAGCGCCTAGCCGCTTGAGAATATCGTTGCCAAGTATCGTTCCTTTTACCCCATCCACAAGGAACATCGAATGACCGATGCATGTCTCTCCTATTCTCAATCGCAACCGTCGTACACCTGATACGTTTAACGGGTGGCCCCCGAACGTCTGTATTGGGACCGACGATTGAGCTAATGGCACTCCAATGAATTTTTTTGTAATTGACGCTCCTGCCCTCGTATCTACCACAGCACAGACTGGCACCCTTTCAATAGTGACCTCTAGAACTGGGGCTCTCCACTGACCAGGTATGGATAAGGAAAAACAGTGAGAAAACTTTGTTCGGTACAGTATCTGGCCAGATGGCCTATGCAGTTGCACCGAAAACAGCGGCGGCCACGTTGCTTTCCGTATTCGTTCTGTTGTGCATCTATCCTCGACATTAGCTTATACATCATCTCTCTCAACTGGTCAAACTTGCGTTCCACTTCCGATGGACGGATTCTTCCTATGGTCACTGGATCCAAAAGACTCTGCGCCACTGTTACGAGCTCCTCTGCCTTGGTCACTCCCACCGTTGATGCCAGGTTTACTTTGTCCTGGAGGGGTTTGGGTAGGCTCTTAATGAATTGTCCTTTAAGGATTCGTTGCTTCGCGACCAAATCTAACTCAGGCATCCCGACTGCCAAGTTTCTATCCAGCCTCTGGAAGAACACCATCAAGTCTTCCTGTTCCTCCCACTTTGCCGAATGAAATTTCGCCAGAACGCTTTAACCGGACGATGAAGACATGGGTCAGCTGCACAAAGTTGGCATGGGAAGAGGCACTGCCCGAAGTACTACTCGCTTATCGAACCAGCATGCAGTCAAGCACCATGGTTTCGCCCTTCGAATTGCAATTTGGGAGAGAGCCGAGAATCGCACTCGATACGTGGTTGGCGATGGATCGCGAGTGCGAACACCCAGCAGTGCATCGCGGAGAACTATAAATAACCGTGCGAAGGGGAACAAGCGCACGACAATTACGGAATAAACGGAACTATAACGTACGATATTCAACAGATAAATGGAGACCATTCAACCTAGGAGACCAAGTAAGACTGCGCAATAATGATCCACCGGCCATTGGAGTACCACGTGCGGGCAAATTCAACCAGCGGTGGAAGGGTCCCTATATCATAATGGAAAGGAAAGGAGTGAACGTCAGAATTGACGATGGGATGGCGAAATGTTGGGTGAATACAGCTGTACTACGACCATTGTATACGAGGAAATCAGATCTTCGCGAAGGGGGCGGGTGTATTGGCACGAAAGGCGAGAATCACTGCTAGAACGAACAAGCGGCGAAAACTAAGGAAGATGAAAAGTAACGAGGGCACCGAGGCGGAAATCACCAAAGCAGCTCGAGGCCTACGGGGCAAGCCGGAAAGGGGCAACGAACGACATGAGGAGGGACGTAGCGGCATATATTCGGGGATGCCCAAACTGCCAAACTAGCCGGGAGGCGGATGCGCCCAGACTGCTAATGCAATATGTTGGAGTTACCAAGGCGCTAAATAGCATTTCCCCCTACATTACTGGAATATTTGTTCGGAATGTATGTGTGTCTGATGGTTTATTATTGAACTGGCCAACCTACTTACAAACATATATTATTAATACTGGTTAAAAAATTTTGAGACACGATTGCAACTTTTGGCTGTTCTAACTAATAGCATTAGATGCCTCGTGTCCTCACTGCTCGGAGTTTCAGTATATTTTGTATATTTTAACAACGCGGCAATGTTACTACACTGTGTCACCTCTCAATCCCTTTCATCTCAGACTTTTTGCAAGTGGAGTTTATCCAGCTGTTTATCTGTAAATGTTGCAAATCCATGAACAGGGTCCAACTTTATGTCAACATGAAGTGCGATTTTTCATTCTTTATCCCATTTTCCCCTCCGCTCACAGATTTCTTTTTCACGTTGGACGTTCCGATGTTGCTCTACGGCACGCCAAACGCGCATTGGAGATGGCTCACCAAATTTATGCCCCGACTCATCCGAATTGTCTCAACCTGCATTGTGATATCGCCGTCATTTTGCTCAATCTTGGACGAGTAGATGAAGCTCGGGCGTACTTGACCAGGGCACAGGAATTAGCCGAGGAACAATTCGCCGAACAATCAATACCGAACCGGGATGAGATTCGCACATGTTTGGTTCACATTCTCTTGCAACGGATCGATCTGGAAGCTATGCATGATAACTCTTCATCCTATGCAGGGAATCTGATCCGAAGGGTTGAAGGCATGCTGCAAACATTTGACGTTCCTCTCGATCTACGAGATCAGTACGAACGACTCCGTGTGAAAGTTGACGTGGAATCCTAATTGTTCGGTCTACTTCTGTCCAGGTGCCACTTGTATATTCAGCCAACCGTCAGATTCGTCTCCGGACCTGTTAATATGCACACTTGCATGCAAATTGTGCCTTTGCAAAATTGAAGCTCCATTGGAAGAAGTGTTGCGCTTGCTAAATCTCCTCACACTTGTACAATTATTACTCACTGTCTGATGGAGTAAATGTCTATTTTTAGAATGCATTTCGCTTTATCCGCGTCATCGCCAATGATCGATCGCATGCACTTGGCATTTTGACTAGTCCTACTTGCGCGCGCAAACGCCTGTCTCTCTGACCAGCCCAATAAGGTGCATCGACTTCTGTTGTTGTATCTAGCGGCATGTTGACAATGAAGACAAAATTCGTACATTGTTCGTCTAAGTCATTTCGTCGTCAACTCATCATCATCATCATCATTACACGTTAGCTGGAGGTGGAAAACACCTCAGCTATTGTACCGCAATACAAAAGGCAAGAGAAGAAAAATAAACAGTGGCACGCTCGCTGAGTCCCCAGTAACGGATGGACATCGTTCCGGAGAGCTAACAGCTGGCTGCCGTAAAAGAAAGTCATATTATGCCTAACAATTGAGATCGTGATTGGAGGGGGATGCTAAACAGGAGGGGGATGGACAAAGGGACTCACAACACAAACGCCATTGGGGCCGGCTCCTAGCCACATCAGCAAGTGTGTCCAACCAAACGTATTCACCGTCCTTAGGACCCCAGCCAGGCAGTCGGGATGCACCAACCGACGCCAATTTCTCGTCGCCAACTAGTCTACCATTCGTTCGGTAAGGCACTGAATCGCCACTACGTCTTATGGTGACACTTCAGTAGAGCACCAGGAACGAAGTCCATGACCTCTCAACACTGGTGTCGCTAGCCAGCACCTTCGGGACTGATTATGAACTATGTTGTAGCACGGCCCATCCTTCGCTGCTATACGAGCTGCAAGCTTTCTAGAGAACGGGGCTTGTCCCTGGAGTTATAACTTCTCATATAGCAACTATGTGATTTGATGTTAAGTAGCTATTCCTGCGAATTTTTTGATTATCTTTTCGTGCGAGATTTCCTTTTGATTCAATGCCATCCGAACTGGATTCTCATGGCTAGTTGACGTTGTTGGTTTTGCCGCCTTAACCGTTGCATCACGGATCCAGATAGAATCCAGCCTATTCTCCAATGAATTTTAAAACATGGAATTTCCTTTATAATTCCAAACAAGAATATCGGCGGACCTGGGTTGTGGGATGACACTGTTATTTCGTGCGTACTTGTCGGTCACACACGTGCAACTAACAAGAGATTCAAAACAATGTCACACTAAACCAACTAGTGATCAAATGTGTTCTGATTGTTGCGTTGCACGCTACCACGGTATGCTTCTTGTCAGTGTCAGCGCATTTTGGCCACAGAGGCAAGCGCTGTCGGTTGATAACAATGGCTTCGAGTAGCTTGAGGATGTGACGCTTTTAACTGCGCATGAGGACTGTGAATGACATACAAGGATGAGTCGACCACCGCATTATGACTAGCGCTAGTTTTAGAGACACTGGGATGTGACTACCAGTTTATCGCTTATTCCAAATCGTCTTTTGACTACCGCGTGTTTGCGCCGTACTTTTTAGTCGTTTTTAGCTGCGATAAGAGAAATGGTGGGCTGGGATCCTCTGTGTTGATTAAGAGCCTATCTTCGCCGAAAACTCGATTTTAGGGGCCGTATCGTTTGCCACGCATCTGGGTCCGCCAAATGACCGACAGGCCATCAGAACTCATCTGTCTAGTCGCTTAGGCTTTGTTATAAAACCCATTGTCCGAATGGATTACGACACACCGTCTCAGTGTGAAGTGAATTTCAGCCACATGAGCCGTGTGCGAGGTGAATAAATGTTAAATATTGGGCAACTGGTGGTTATTTGTTCAATGTTCAACCCCCTGTACATACGTAGTTGAGAGTGAGTGGTTTCTGTATCACTTAGTCTCACGCACAAGTGCTGTACTCCAGCTTTCGACGGATGCGTTCTACTTGTGTTCGGCTGCATCCAATCTCATCCACTTCTGTCCCACGGATCTTCACCATGTCTCATTGATTCTTGGGAATACCGATACTCCCAATTAGAAGTCGTTTCATGATGTTGCAAGCATACCGTAACAGCGTAGCAAACTGTAGCCTTAATGGAGATTGCATGTCGCAATCCAGACACGACGCTTACTCGAAGACCCAGCAGTGAACTAACCGCTCTGTTAAGTACCGTTGTGGAGCCCTCAACCACTGTGTTGGGCTCCCCTCTCATCTCAGGCTATCTCTATCTGACGAGTCCTAATGTGGACGCAACCAGTCGGTCGTAGAGTACAGTGTTGGGAGAGAGCAACTCCGTAACGCTCCACCTCGGGTACGGTCCCAGAAACGAAATGGTGTAGGTGTGCTTCAACGCAAACTGTAGCCGCAATCGGGACAGCGTGTCGCAATCCAGATACACGGCGGGTACTCCAAGGCCTCAATAATAAACACCGTAATAATTTACAAGCGAATCATTTCCTCTTTGCTATCTTCCTTAGAGGATGTTCGATTGGGAACCCTGGAGGGCCACAAACACTGGCGCATGGCTGTTTCCTAAGTAACCGAATGATTATGCTACTTATATTATTATTTATGAATCACTTGGTGATTTAATCATAGAAAATGTTTTCTTCATCTGCTCAAAGTGCAGTGAGATGCCTTAAGGCCAATGCTCATCCGCTTTGCTTGAAGCTGGGCAGCCTGCGAAACCGGTCCATTTTGTCAACTCTTAGACTGTCTACTGGTGGCGCTATGGAAAAGGAGGCACCGCGTTTCCTATTTCCAAACCACACCGGTGTTTGCCAATTTGAAACATTCGTAGTTTATCGCAACCTCTCACTTTTTCATTAAACAACGTTCTACGAGGCCACCGTTCAATCTTTTACTGTACAGCACCCGATTCGATAGTACCTACTTACGATGCATCATCGATGTGCGTTGGCGCTACTGGATTTGCATTGATGATGTCAAACGCCATGTCCCTTCTCTTACGTTTGTCTTGTCGCTGTGCAAACTAGGATGGCTCGACCTCATTCTGGGCACATCACACAAAAGTTCAATTGTCTGCTAAAACTAGAAGCGCAAGCTTTCTGTCTATAAGTCGTTTTGCTGTTTTCTTGGCTGCACATCCACGAACGTGAGATACCGTTTGCTGGAAACATGGGAGCAGTTGATGGAACCTGGTTTGATGGAATGATAGCGTGCAGAGTTTGTTGGACACCTGGCTTGCAATCGCACCCCTTAAAAACAAAATGTATGAAGGGACTGTGTGCGGAAAAGAGCAGTCGTTCGTTCCTTTTTTCTTTTCGGTTAGCGACCTCCGGTTCTATCCTGTCACTTTTAACAAGGCTCTTTGGATTTCTCCGTGAAGTGGAATGAATTCGGAGTAACTACCATCTCCATCAGCTTTATTTCTCATCCGGAATTTCTCGCTTGCAAATACTCGCGTTATTTCCGTTCAATTTCAGGCGTCTTACTTTTGTTTTATTCTCCCTAATTTGTCATCTTTGCTTCGAATTATTCATACTGCCGAAACAATCAGTTTGCGGTGCTTATTTCAAGATTGTCGGGCATCTGGCGAATACACACGTTTTAGTGTCACGCTAATTTCTAGTTTCCATGCACACGATTCTTAATACATATCTTTGATCTTGCAGTTTATCTACCTCACAAGCCTGTACCATTTTACAGGCATGTTAGCGCATTGTACGAAGCTTTTAGCGTGACACATTTTCGAAATCGCGTGCAGTGCTTCAAGTTAGCAAGGCTAAGAACGCTGTTTTGGCGTCGTTGACACTCTCATTGGTCATGGGACGTTAGCCAATGGGAGACCGGTTGGAAGCCCCGAGCATAAGCGACACACTCCAATGAAATTACTCCAGCACCACCTTCTGTTCTGTTTTGATGCCCATCTGAAGTAAACCATGATGATTGGTCTCCAAACTGAAACCGTCCAATGGGCAACTTGTGATTCTTGTCTAAGGAGATCACCCTAGCTACCACATTATCCGAAGCTTACACCGTAACCAGTGCGGACAGACATACTAACCATTACATGAAGCGGTCTATACTTGGTGATCGCAAGCGGCTACCTAGGGGCGGTCTAACCATGGTGGCGTAGACAGGCAATCTTCTAACTGGTATTCCGCAGTCCCTGAGATCTGAGGGAGTGAGGCAGGCTTGCATTTGCGGTTGGTCAGGCATGCGCCGTGGCTTGGACACTGCACACCCAAACCTGAATCAGCAATGGCTGCTAGGCGGTTGGACAATTTTGTGCGACTGTTATTGCGACGACCATGGAGGACATTGTTCCCGTTGGTGGACCGACCTGAAGCTAAACAACGAAAGTTCTATGGGTGCTTACTTCTATCACAGTTGATGACTAAACACAACCTAAGAGGATTCCAAGTGTGGCGTTGACACGACTTTAATGAGTGTTCGTTTGTCTCCACACCCATGGGCGACTTTGTTAATCAGTTATCGCTTCAGCGTCTCCATGTATGACGTCATTTAAAGGTCATATGAGCCTATGTATTCATAGGATAATTAGGCTTTACTTCCATATGGTCGCCCATAGGTGTTGAGACGCTTTGACAAGTGGCTCTCCGAATGGCACCATTAGAAGCACAGTCAATGCAGATGGAACCTACCTATTACGTCCATGGACTGGAATGCTATCCTCATGAAATCGGCATTACCCAACAAAGAAACACCTAGAGGGGCTACAATGACTACCGTATGTATACCTGCCACATCGTCCTGCTAGAAAAATCGCAAAGGCCGATAATTAGTGGCGACGCACGTATTTTACTCTGTAATTCAGGTGAGTACTTGGAACAGACAAACACTGTTGTCTCACCCACGGGCGTTCCTACAGTATACTTGCAATCATTTACAAAGGCAACCGCGCCCACTAATCCTGCTACGGACCACTGTTTCAGCCGGTAGTAGAAGCACGCATGTGGGCACGCCGTGACACGTTTTGATCGACTTAGCAACTACTCGGAAACATTTGCCATTGGAAAGTAGGTAATTCCGGATGCATTGTTGAAGAAGAAAATTTGCTCCAAACTGTATGCTTACAATGCGTATGCAATGCTCGTTGGCAGATCATATCAGCGCCGTACGGTCA